AGCCTTCTCTTCTGATTACTCACACTTCCACTCCAGCCTCTAAGCAAAAAGGCCTAGGTGAGGGGCTTGCTGGATACAGAAGAAAGAAAAGCCACGTACAAAGCTGGGACCTGCCTCAGGTTTACTGGCAAGGTGACCTTGAGCAGCTCTTTGAACCACCCTGACCTCACTCTCCTCTTCTGTAATTATACAATTAACAAACACCTATTGTGTGCTCAGTTTTGCCTGGGAGCAGAAAATATAACATGAATAAGCAGGACCCTCACTCTCAAGGATTCTGCTGTCTTTGTAAAAATAAAGATGCCAGGCATGGTGGCGCATGCCTGTAATCCCAGCTCTCAGGAGGCTGAGGCAGGAGGATTGCCATGAGTTCAAGGCTAGGCTGGGCAACATAGTTCAAGGCCAACCTGAACTGCATAGTGAGACCCTGTCTCAAAAACACACACACAGGTGGGCCAGGGATTTAGCTCAGTGGTTTCACCACCTTCTGCGCAAGTGCAAGGACCCGAGTTTGATCCCCCGGTACCAAACAAAAACACACACAGGACTGGGGATTTAGCTCAGTGGTGCTGCTGCCTGCCTCCCAAGCACAAGAACCCAAGTTCAATTCCTGGTACCAAAAAATAAATAAATAAAGTGAAGCTGGTATGGCGGCATATCCTTGTAATCCCAGCTCTCGGAAGGCTGAGGCAGGAGTATCACCACAAGTTTGAGGCCAGCCTGGACTACATAGTGAGACCTTGTCTCAAAACAAAACAAAACAAAAAGTGAAATGGGGCTTGGTGGTATAGTCCTATAATCCCAGCACTCTGGAAGGCTGAACCAGGAGGCTCACAAGTTCAAGCCCCATGTGGCCAACTTAGCTAGACCCTGTCTCAAAATTAAAAAAAAAAAAAATTTAATGACTGGGAAATCTACCTCAATGTGATGGCTCTGGGTTCAATCCCCAGTAATGGAAAAATTAAAAAGATAAAACGAGAAAGTTGAGCCAGGGATTTAGCTCAGTGGTTCCGCTACCTGCCTCGCAAGGTCCCAAGTTTGATCCCTGGTACCAAAAAAAAAAAAAAAAAATACAGACACATAACCCTCCCCAAAAAAATTTATTTTAAGAGCTTGGGGATGTAGCTTAGTGCAAAGGCTCTGTGTTCACTTCCCAGTACCATACACATACACAAAAAGGACTGAGGATGGGCCCAGTTGTAGAGTGTCTAGCATGTGTGAGGGCTTGGGGATTCAGTCCCCAGTACCACAAAAAAATAAGTAAATAAAATAGTGTTTGTTGAACATTTACAGTTACTGTGTAAAGTCCTTTATAGATCATCCTTCTCGTCACTAATAGGAGAGGCTGTGATATAGTGGTTAAGAGCATAGACTCTGAAGCCAGTCTGCCTGGATTCAAATCTGGGCCTTGCTACTAACTGTGACTCTGGGTGAGTCACTTAACCTCTCTGTGCTTCAGTTTTCCAATGCATTAAATGGAGAAAAGTATAACTTTTTTTTTTTTTTTTTGGTGCCGGGGATTGAACTCGGGACCTTGTGCTTGCAAGACAGGCAGCGGAACCACTGAGCTAAATCCCCGGCCCAAGTATAACGTTTTTTAATCCCTAAGACTTTGAATAAAATTAACTCATAGGGTTATGTAGCTTAAATTGGAAGCTCCCTGCATAGGCACATAGCAGGTACATGGTAAATGGGTAAATGTCAGCAGTTACTCGAATTGTTTGGTGGGAAGTTGTTGAGTGTCCCTTGCAGCTGCCAGTCCTCCTGTGGCCATGCTGGCCTGTGGGCTGGGTCGTGAGCAGGTGGTAGTGGGGATGGTACAGCCACAGTGTGGACACTGGAGCTGAAAGGCCCAGGTTGAGATCCCAGCTTCCCAGTTTTGGGCAACTTATGTTGAGCCTGTCTCCCCCTCCTGTCCCATGAAGCAGAGGGAACACATGAAGCTCTGAACCTGATTGCCAAGGACCAAGGTGACCAGCTGGCCCAGTTTGCTGGGGATTCTCAGAGCTAAAGCTAACGAAACATGGCAGACAGGGACATGGATCCAAGCAACTCCATAAAATAAGATACAGAGGATTTCAAAGGAAACCAGTTAGACTGAATAACAAGTTACCAAAGTATTTGTAGACTCCTAATATATGTGCTTCTTTATCAGCACAGTAAATAAGTCATTAAGCATGAGCAGTGTTTTGAAATATTTGCAACTACTCCAGTGTGCTAGGCAAATATTAGGGGAAAAGTTCCAGGCTCTGATGCTACTGCTGTGGCTGGTTGCCAACAGCCATAAGTGAGGGAGCTGCTAAATGTCAGTGAGAAGTGAGTGAATGAAAATAGATGTGACGTTTTCCCATCAAGTTCAAGGCCCCTTGAGTTTGTTGGTGGCCCCTTTGGGATAGTACTGAGGGACCACAGGTTGAGGGCCCCTGTAATGGAGTGGAGGTGGGGGCCAGGGAACCCATTGGGGACCGCACCTACCTGCCGAGACAATGTCTCACCCTCACCCACCCCCGCCCACAGATGCCCCCGGGCAGTACGGAGCCTATTTCCACAATGATGGCTTCCTAGCCCTTCCCAGCCGAGTCTTCTCCAGGAGGTAAGACAGGTCCAGGTGGGGGAGGACAGGAGTCCAAGAGCTCTGTCCACTCACTCACCCCCTCCCCACCCCCCACAGCCTGCCTGAAGTGCCCGAGACTATCGAGCTGGAGGTTCGGACCAGCACGGCCAACGGCTTGCTGCTCTGGCAGGGCGTGGTGAGTGGGCACCAGGTGTGGAGTCTTGGGATCCTGCAGCAGGAGGCTGGCCCACTGGTGGCCAGGGCCATGGGGCGGGAGGAAGGTCTCTCAGTACTACAGCATCAGGGACCTCAGCTCTGCAGGCTGGGGACTCTAAGACCCTGTGCTTCCTTGGCAGGAGGTGGGAGAGGCCAACCGAGGAAAGGACTTCATCAGCCTAGGACTGCAGGATGGCCTCCTTGTCTTCAGGTGGGTCCTGGCACCCTGCCCCTCCTCCCCCCTCCCTGGCTCCTCCCATGGGAAGCTGCCCCTGCCAGTCCCCCAGTCACATATCACCTCGCCCCCTCGCCGCTCCATACCACCAGTCCTGCACCAGCTCACACTCATGGGCCTCTGTTACTCCAGCTACCAGTTGGGCAGTGGGGAGGCCCACCTTGTCTCTGAGGACCCTATCAATGACGGCGAGTGGCACCGGGTGGCAGTGCTGCGGTAAGCAAGCCCAGCCAGGCGTTAGGAAAAAGGACTAGAGTCCTGCAGAGGGATAGGATGCCCCCATCACAGGCAGGGAAGTGGCCACTGAGCTCTGTGAGAGAACAGGAAACTGGAGTTGGGGAGCTCCCTGGTCAAACCAGAGCTGGGTTTGCAGGGTGAGGCCCATGATTGGGGGGTGTGCAAGGGGCTGGGCCTGGCTCATCTGTCCAGAGTCTCCATGCCAAGGGGATGGGTTTTATGGGTGGGCTGGAAGGATGGGAATCCAGGCCAGGCAGGGGGCCTGACCCAGCCACACTGCAGAGAGGGCCGGAGAGGCTCCATCCAGGTTGACGGCGAGGAGCTGGTGAGCGGACAGTCCCCGGGCCCCAATGTGGCAGTCAACACCAAAGGCAGGGTGTACATTGGTAAGTCTTGGGCTGGCCTGGGGTGGGAGGAGCCCACCAAGGGCAAGGAGGGCACGGTGGTCCTGCAATGCTGGCCTCCTGGGCTTCTGGAACCCTCCAGCGCTCTCACTCCCCTGCCCACAGGTGGCGCCCCAGATGTGGCCACACTGACCAGAGGCAGGTTCTCCTCAGGCATCACAGGCTGTATCAAGAACCTAGTGCTGCACTCGGCTGGGCCTGGCGCACCACCGCCCCAACCCCTAGACCTGCAGCACCGTGCCCAGGCTGGAGCCAACACACGCCCCTGCCCCTCATAGGCACTTGCCAGCTTCCCATGGACTCCCAGGCCACGCCCAGCCTGACAATGTCGAGTATATTATTATTAATATTATTATTATGAGTTTTTTGTAAGAAACTGAAGCGATGCCATGCTTTGCTGCTACTGCCCTGGGCTGGACTGGAGGGTGGGCACACCAGCTTCCCACACACATGGGAAAAGCACCAAGGCCTGTGGGCAGGGCAGGTGGGAGGGTCTGTTGCCTCAGAAAGCCACCAAGAACTGAGGTTAGGCATGGTGGCTGGGTAGACCCAGATCTATCCCAACCCCTCATGCCCTGACGGAACCCCCCAAAGAACTGGGCCACCCACTTTGGGAGCCCTTGGGCAGCCCTCCTTCCTGAGGACCATCTCAGCTCACCACCTGGTGCCCACCAGCTAAGTGAACAGGAGGTATCACCTGCCCTTACCCCCCCAACCCTGGGCTGGAAAACTCCATAGCGCCCCCTGTGGAGCAGAAGGCAGCTTGCTCTTCCCCCCACCAGCTCCATCCCAATCCCCCACCTCTGCCCAGCGGCACAGCCTCCTCCCACCTCCACTCCCTCCCTCTGCATTCCCACCACCCACACACAGTCCAGGGTCCCCCCTCAGGGCTGCAAGGGAAACCCCCCCAGCTCCTCCCTGGAACACCCAGCACTGAGGTCTCACCACACCAGACCACATCCCCCACTCTTCTGGAGGTGAAGGCCCAGGGACTTGGGGGAACTGGTGGTCAGGAAGAGCCAGTGCCTTAGAGTGGGGAGGCCAAGACCCCTGACTGGGGGGAGTGGAAGGAAGATGACAGCCCCACCCCTGGGAACCCAACGACCGACCTGGTGGTCAGCAGTCCCCATATTGTGGCTTTGGGACACCTGACCTCAGGTCCTAGAAGGGTCTTTGTCTTGATTTTTCTTAATAAACGGTGCTATCCCCGCCAGTAGTCTGCTGTGTCTTTGGGTCTCGACTCAGTGGCATATGGAGAGCAGGCTGGCATGGGACACAGCTGGCTGCTGGGGTCTGGGTGGGAATCGACCCTCCCATGCCCCGCCCTGGCCATGGAGGCCACACTCTCCCCTGATCCAACCAAGTGATGCCCCCACCAGCCACAGGACTGGCCACTGTGCGCACTCTGCCTCCTGCAACCCTCACCACAACATGCAGGCGAAACTAGCCAGTTTCCCAGAGGAAGTGGCCAGGCAGCCAGCAGTGGGTCGAGGAGGCCAGCGCCACACTGTGCAGCAGGGGGCCTGTGGAAGAATCAAGAGTCCACTCAGCTTCAGCCTGGCCAAGCCTCCTGCTCCTGTCACCCAGCAGGGATAGGTGTGGTTTCAGTGGGTAGTCACCGAGAGCCATCTACCTTCCAGAGCTGCATCCTGTTGGGCAGGGTTCCGGTCTTCTGGGGGACTTCTCTCTGGTGCACTCCCACGGGGGCCTGCAGAACCCAGAGCCACGGAGAGAGTCGGCTCAGAGGAGTCATCATCCGTGCTCCCTGGCTGGCTCGGTGGCAGAGAGGGACTTGCAGTGGGCAGTAATAGGACCAGCACACTGGGAACTCCCACTCCTAGGCACTATTTTCTTTTTTTTTTGTACTAGGGATTGAACTCGTGACCTTTTGCTTGTGAGGCAGGTAGTGGAACCACTGAGCTAAATCCCTGGCCCACCACTTCTGTGATTTATCCCTCAAGACCTCTCTGTCAGTATTTCCATTTTACACATAAGGGAAGTGCAACACAGAGGTTAAGTCTCTTGCCAAGGTCACACAGCTGGAAGTGACAAGAGGATTTGAACCCACTGTGGTGGATTGACTAATGGTCAACTTGTAACGCCCAGCTGAACTGAATCAGCACGGTCTGGGTGTGGAGGATCCACCTGAAGATTGTTACCAATAGCTGTAAAAAGAGAACTGAAGGGGAAGGTCTTGGCCTGTTGATTTGCTAGGAGAAGTTTGCTGCGGATGGTTTTTCCTATGCAAACTAGGATGTTCTCATCAGAGGAGGAGCTTGGGAACTCGCTGTTGCTGGGAATGGCTGTTGTTTTCATCAGGGGAGCTCTGATCTTCACCATGAGCATCACTTCCTGGCTCCAGTGTGGATCCCTCACCTTGGTGGCACAAATCCTTCATCTCACCAGCATAGATTTTCTGGCTTCTACCACTGGCCTTTGGGCCTTCCAGGTGCAGATCCTCCATACGGACAAGCATGCGACATTGCCACTGGCTGGACTCCAAGCCTTCAGCTGGACTTGTGTGGGAAACTGCTGGGATCTAGGCCCTCAGCTGAATCCTTTGAGCTTCAAGTGTGCAGTTGATCTCTTGCACTCCTTTGCATTTGACTCTTTGGGTAATTATCATAAAATAACCTCATAAAGGGCCAGGGATTTAGCTCAGTGGTTCTATTGCCTGCCTCACAAGCGAAAGGGCCCGAGTTCGATATCCGGAACCAAAAAAACAACAATAATAACCTCATAAGTTATACGTCCTGTATTTAATGTATTCCCTTGCCGAATCCTTCTGACTACAACACCCACCCAGTCCAGATTCAGGTCCTGGGGTCTTTAATGCAGCTATTTTTCAAGAAGGGGGACATATATACACATATTGAGTGCTTTCTGTGCACTAAGCCCTCTGCCTACAGTATTTCACGTACAGTTTACCACACTGAAAGTTGAGGTGTGTGTCGTTGAATTTCACAGGTGAGGAAACTGGCATAGAGAAGTTCATTGTGCCACTCATTTGATAGTATTTCTCTGGCATCTGGCATACATCAGACAACTCGAAGGGCTGGGGATCAGCCAGGAGCAAAGTATACGAAAATGCCTGTGTAACTCAAAGTTTAGCGTCGGGAAACACAAAACCTTAATATGTCAAATGGGGTCAGAGGAATAGGGGGTGACTCAACAGGCGGGGCCAAGGCTGCTTATCCAGACAGGAAGATGGCTGAGGGGTGGGGTGGAGAGATCAATTTGGGGCAAGTGAAGTCTGAGAAGCCACCAACAGCCACATGCAGATGGGACCAGAGCTGTCCAGCTAGCCAGACAAAGGAAATGAGACCTCTAAGAGAATAAGCAGGAACTGAGCCTGGGGGCACAAAGGACAGAATTTGAGGGAAATAACCAGAAAACTAAAAGAGAATAGGAAAAGTGCCTTGGGGAGGCAACTGGCATTCTGGGAAGGTGGGTTTTACCACAGCTTGCTGCTTTTCTGCAGTGAACACTGTACAACCATACCTAGCATCCCTGCCTCCACCTCACTCCTTTTTGGGGGGTTAATTTTGTTTTTTTTCTAGGGTTTTGGGGGGGTTTGTTTGTTTTTGTTTTTTGAGACAGGGTCTCACAATGTATTCCAGGATGGCCTTGAACTCATTTTGTAGCCCAAGCTGGCCTTGTACTTGAAGTGATCCTCCTGCCTCAGCCATCAAGTACTGGCATTACAGGTGTGCCTCATCATGCTCACTTCCATTCCACTCCTCATTGGGGACTGAGGAAGGTGGGAGATCTCCAGATCCCCAGAAGGTTATTCCCATGTGATCTCTTCTGATTTTATAGTCTATTCCTACTCATGTTCTTCATTGGCTTTTTGACCCTGAGCAAGTCATTGCTCTTTCTAGACCTCAGTGTCTCCAGACTGGATTAACAGCTTTCAAAGCAGGTATTCAGGGTGAGACTCAGGCCCCTGAGACCAACATCAGGCAGGCAGGGAGAGGGCCGAGGTCCACACCCAGTTCAGCAGAGCACCTCTGCTTTCCACATCCTTGGCTCCTGTGCCAGGTTTGGTTTAAGGCAAGTTTCTGCCCCAGCTGACTAGACCCACATGCATTGTTCCAGCCCTGAGCACTCTGACCCCTGGCTCTCAGTCTAAACCACCTGCCCTGTGCGTTCCCTCACTCCCTGAGCTGGGCCCCTGCCTCCTGTCTCAGGGAAGGGCAGGCAGGGATGACTCCCCTTGGCTGTTCAGTAGGGCCCAGGCCACAGCCATCACTGACCTCTGCAGCTGGCTGGTAGCCAGGAGCCCTGGTTGCTGCCATCTCCTCCACAGTTGTCCAAGCCCCAGCGGACCGTTCTGGCAGCGGAAGTAGGCACCACAAGGTCCTGGGGTAGAAAAGGGAAGCCTGGGGTAAGGCTCCTGGCTGAGCCTGTGCCAGGAGCCCATGACACAACTGGATGTGTGGGCCCATGGGAAGAGGGCATGGGAAGGTGTGAGCAGGAGAGGGCTGCCGGCCAGGGACTATGGGGACAGAAGAGTAGCTGAGGGCTTTCGAGGGTGGCTCATTAGGGTGATATGGATGATGACAGTACAAGTTCTGGGCTAGGGTTGAAGCTCAGTGGTGGAGCAATGAAAGAGTTCGAGCGAGCCTGGAATGCTCCTGCCCAGGGCCCACTGCTCCCTTCAGCACTGCTGGAGAACACTCCTCCAACTTCCTAGAGTCCTCAGTGCAGTGTAGCCCCAGCCCTCCATCTCCCCGGCCCTCTCAGTGCTGATGGCCACCGGCAGAACAGCAATGGCTTGAGTGTTTGCTCATGGCCTTTCTCCCCCAAAAGGGATTCCCTCCCATTCATAGCTGTGTCCCTACAACCTAGAACAGCACCTCACCCAGTGCAGGTGCTCAACTAACACTTGTTAGCAAAGTGAAAGCATCACACAATCCAACGCCTAGGGGCTGGCAGACAGCTTGGCTTACCCAGAGTCCCATGCTGTGGGCAAAATCTAGTTCAAGTGGGACTGACCAATGCCATGGCTCAGGTCAGGCCAATCACACCATTCCAATTCCTGGCCACAGGAATGGACACCTGACCCACATTAGTACCTAATTAGATTCTGTTATGGCTGTGTCTAGATGTCCCCACAAAGCCTCATGCAGTCATGGTGGGGTTTTTCAGTGGTGGCTGGATCTAGAGTGTGTGATATGCTGGGATCTATTCATGATGCAGTGCTAGGATCAAAGGCACTAGGATTAAGGGTGTGAGTGCTACCTGCCCTAAGTAGCCTGGATATTAGGGATAGAAAGAGCTGAGGTCGTCCCTTGCTTTGCTACCATCTGCCTGCCATGAACTGTTTCTCCTCTGCGAAATCTGTCTGCCATGCCACCCTGCCTTAGAGCCAGCCAATTATGGACTAAAACCTCTGCAAACTGTGAGCTAAATAAACCTTTCCTATTTTAACTTTGGGTGTCAGATATTTTGTCTCAGCAATGAGAGAAAAGTAAGACAGATTCAGCTCCCAGACTTTTGCTAGAGCCATAAGAGAAATGCCTAGGGCTGGGGATTTAGCTCAGTGGTTCCAAAGCCTGCCTAGCAAGTGCAAGGTCCTGAGTTCGATCCTTGGTCCCCACCCCCCTACCCCACCCCAAAAGATGCCTGAATCAGGCCTGGGGGTATATGCCTGTAGTTCCAGCACTCTGTGAGGCTGAGGCAGGAAAACCCTAAGTTTGAGTCCAACATAGGCAACTTAGCAAGACCCTTACTGCAAAGTAAAAAGAATCGCTGGCTGAGATGGAAGCCAAGCAGACCTATGCAGCTCAAAGACAGAGAACAAAGAACAAAGCAACAGAGCCCAGGTTACATTGCTTGAGCTCCATCTATACCTGAATCAGCACTGTAATAGCCCCGTTATCAGAGTCCCCCAGAATTCTCCTTTGGCTATGCCAACTTGGGCTCATTTTTCTCATTTGCAGATGAAAGTGAACAATATATAGAAAGCATGCAAGAGTACGAGTGAATGCGATGGGCAGAATACAAACTAGTGTGATAAGGCATGGAAAGTTGCATTAACAATGTGGGAGTGTGGATGAGTGTGTGTGCCTGGCTGGGGCGCTGCAGTCTGGTACACACATCCGTGGAGGCAGGATTTATGGGGTTGGCTCTTTGGGTCTGAACGCCCTTCACCCTGAACCCCAACCCTGTGCCTGCCACCACCTCCTCCTCCACCCTCTCGGGCCCCGCTGTGGCCCATCCCGGCCTCCCCCATTCCCACCCACCCAAGCGGAAAGAAGTCTCTTCTCCCACGAAGTCCACGCGGGGCTGGCGGCCTCTGGTGACCAGGCACAGGCCCAGGAAGCGTCCGAAGGAGGCCACCGGGGCGGGGGTGATCAGGCCGCAGAGAGGGGCCCCTAGGGCCCGTGACGTCCCCAGCGGCCCCTCATAGAGCTGCAAGTAGGAGCCGGGGGGCACACGGGTCTGTGGGGTCCGAGGCCGAGACGTTGGGCGGGGGGTCCGGTGCCGCCTGGGTCAGGCTATAGACAAGAAGCGGAACTGGAAGCGGATCTTGTCGCCAGCGGCCGCCGCCCTCACCCAGAGCCCGCAGTCGATGTAGAGAGCCACGAAGTAGAACCTGCGCGAGGCGGAGTACGAGCGCAGCAGCAGCCCGTTGCCCTGCCACATCTGCCCGCACAGCTCCAGCAGGTCGGCCGCGGGAAAAGCAGGCCTTGGGTCACCAGCCGGTTCCCGACGACCTCTGCCCCCTGCTCCCTGTGTGACCGCTCCATTTAGTCATGGATAAATGGGGGTAGTTGAGCAATTTCAGAATTTTTGTGAGGATTAAATGATTTAATTCAGACCACGATCCCTTACTCCAAAGCCCTCCCTGTCCCAGGTGGTGGCGCTGGTCTGTAATCTGAGCACTCTGGAAGTCAGGCAGGAAAATCTCAAATTCAAGATCCACCTGAGCAATTTAGCAGTTAGCAAGAGTTCAGTGTGAGGTTTCTGGGTTCAATCTTGGGCAGAGGGCATACGTTTCATATTTTCCAGATTTTGTAAATATGATGTATATACATTGTATTAAGTTGCAGCCCCAAATGGGCTCTCTAGCAAAACTGTATGAGCCTTTAGCCAAAGGGGGCAGAAAGAAATAACAGGTAATCTTCTGTGACTCTGGGTCCTGTTGCCAATAAACCAAATGCTTTTCAAAGCACTCTGGTTGTTAGAATTTCTACCAAATGGTGGTGGGCATGATCGGTGCAGGACTAAGACAGCACCTGGCCTTTAATGAGTGTTACAGAAATGTCAGCTACCTTATTGAAGGGTGAGGAAACACTTTTGGGTGTCTGGCCACCCAACAGCTATTCTGTTTCCTCTTGCTAAAAGAACCGAGTTGGGCCGGGGATTTAGCTCAGTGGTTCTGGCGCCTGCCTCACAAGCGCAAGGTCCAGAGTTCGATCCCCGGTACCAAAATAAAATAAAATAAAATAAAAGAACCGAGTTTTGCAATCCTTATTTGCCAGGTTTAAGAATTGGTATGTGATCTGTTTTGGCCAATGAGTCTTAAGGATATGTCTGCTGCTAGTTCCAGAGGAGAAGTTTTCCTCCTTGAAAAAAAACAGTGTGCTGTGTGATGAGGAGTCAGCTTTTCTTCCTGCTTCTGAAAGCTGTTAGAATGTGAGGTCTGGAGCTGCAGCAACCATCTTACAATTAGGAGGTCATGAGATTACCAATGCTGAGATCATTGAGCTGCTGGATCAGCCATCTCTGGAATCACCTATTGACAGCTTTCTTACATGATATAATGAATACTGAAACAACACTTATCATTATACTTTCTTATTAATTTGGTATCTGTTTCTTACAACCCAAAACATCTTCACTAGTACACTTGTGTAAGCGCCCAAACTAGCTCTGATTTTTTAAGGGCAGAGAAGGGAGATTTCCTGGTTTGGGAAGAGGCACAAGTGTATGATTTAGGATCTGCCAGAGTTCCGGTCTTCAGGGGAGAAATCTTGCCTTGGGGCTGAGGATGTAGACACATTCCTGTATTTGTGCCCACCAGAGGCCCACAGGGGAGGAGATCTGTGGGTTTGGTTTTTTTTTTCCGGTGTGTGCATGTACATAAGTTATTAGGACCTGAATTCAGGGATGCTCTACCACTTAGCTACATCCCTAGCACCCTCTCCTCTTTTGAGACAGGGTCTTGCTAAATTGCCCAGGCTGGCCTCAGACTTTCAATCCTCCTCTTCCTAAAGTGCTGGGATTACAGACACCTAGCAGGGTAGCAGTTTAGAGTAAATCAAATTGGGCCCCTCTCAAAATATCTTGTATAATTTATCTCACCTTATTACATACAATAATAATACCTTAAAGGGAAAGGTCCTAGCCCGGCATGCTGGCTCATACCTAGAATCCTGGCACTCCAGAGGCTGAGGCAGAAGTATTGAAAGTTCCAGCCTAGCCTGGGCAATTTAGCCACATAGTGTGAGACCTTATCTCAAAATAAAAAAGGTTGGGTTGTAGCTCAATGCAAAGGTCGTAGGTTCAGTCCATGAACCTCCCCCCCCCCCCAAATTGCTGAGCATGGTGGTGCACACCTGTGATCCCAGCACTCAGGAGGCCTAGGTAGGAGGATTGCTTGGAGTCTGAGGCCAGTCTGGGCTACATAGGGAGACCCTGTCTCAAAAAAACAAAACAAATAAAAAAGGCAGAGGGGCAAGTTTCTATTATTATTATTATTATTATTTTACTACAGAAAAAATGAGGCTTAGGTGAATGAGGCTGTGATCTCAAGGGCAAGGATGTAGCAAGTGGCAGAGTGAGGGTGGAAATGTATTCTGGAAATAATACAGAATAATACTTCTGGAGCCCACAAGTTTTGTCTCCAGATCTGAGGGGGAACCCACCCTCAGGCCCTACTTCTGTGTACCTTGGAGCTCCAGCCTCCTACAAGGGTTCGGGGTGGACTTGGGGCACCAAGCAAGACCAGGCACAGGGGTTCCAGCCTCCCCACTAAGGGGACCTAGGCCATGTGGGTCACCAAGGGTGGGGGCCAGAGTCTCCTGGTGCCCTGCTAGGTACTCACCTGTCTCCAGGTGAGACAAGGTCAGGGCAGCTGTCCCCAGCAGCAGCCTTTGGGGCAGCCACAGGAGATGCAGCTCCATGGAGGTTCTGTGCAGGGGTGGGGGGGGGCAGACCTGTGGAATCTTCAGTTTGGGGTCTGGGCAGCTAGCTGGGACACTGGCAGGACACAAGGAGCAAGGGAGGCAAGTCTGCCAGCTCCTCTGGTGTCTTCACTATGATCTTTGTGCTCCCTCTTTGGGCCAGGATTGTGTCTAGGGGTTGCCATGGAGATTTGGAGCCAGACCCTGAGCCTGGGGAGAGAAGGCGGGGAGGATGTCTGCTCACCTGCCAGACAGGAACCAGGACACTCAGTTCTCGCTTAGCCCTGGGGCTTCTTGCAGGGGGACTGGAAGCCTGGAAACCTCCTACCTTCCTAGATAAGCTGGCACCTTAGAGGGTGAGCTTGAGGAGACCTCAGTGTCAGAGTAGTTTCTCCATTTCTTGGAGAAACAGTTGTTGCTGAAGAAGCATCAGACCAAGAGTCTGCTCCATTACTAACACAGAGCTTCTGCTGCAGGGCCTTTGAACTTACAGTGCCCTTTGCCTGGAGTGAGCTTATCCCATGGCTGTCCATGGCTGGTTGTTTCAGGCCACTGGGTCACAGCTCACATATGACCATCTCCTGACCATCCTTCAATCCTGTCACTCAATCACATCTCCCTGTATTTGTCATCTCAGTACTCTACAGACCCCTCTGCCCCACCCTGTGGTACTAGAGATTGAAAAGAGGGCCTTCACACTCCAAGTGGTAAAATAGGCTAGGGATATAGTTTTGTGAGTGTTTCACATATGGATGGCAGGCAAAATACTGACACTGGGTACGCTGGCATAGGACTGAATATAGGGAGAGAAGGGACTTGCTCCTCTCTGCTAATTTTAACACTTCTCTGCTGAATTTGACTGGCATCACGTGATTCTGGAGGGAAAAATGTCCCTTAAGGGGTAAAGAATGAGGTGTGCATCCCAGAGATAGTGGTTTAGAAGCCCAGGAGAGTGGCAGTTCCATTAGCCAGGTATGTACCACACACCTGTAATCCCAGCACTCTGGGAGGCTGAGGCAAGATAATCATAAATCCAAGCCAAGCCTGGGTACTTCAGGGACTTAGTGAGATCCTGTCTCATAAACATTTTTTTTTTTATTTGGGATGAAACTCAGGACCTCTTGCTTGCCAGGCAAGTGTTGTGGCACTAAGCCAAATCCCCAGCCCAACATTTTTTTTTAAAGGAGGTACGGGCTGGGTGTGGCAGGAGTATCACCATGAGTGGGTCTGTAGTCTGAACTCATGTTCTCTCCACAACAGTGATAAGCAAGTTTTCTCCATATCAAGCTATGTGGGGAGTCAGCTCCTTCCCTTTCTGTTATCCATATATTAGCAGAGTTGTTAATACTTGACTATAAAATATTGAAGATTGAAATGAGATGTCATTAAAAACTAGAAAAATAAGATGTAATTAGGCAGAAGTAAGTTCCCACAAGTCCAACATGGAAAACTTAGCAAGACTCCATCTCAAAGTTTAAAGAAAAGGCTGGGGCTGGGCATGGTGGCGCAGTCCTGTAATCCTAGGACTCAGGAGGCTGAGGCAGGAGGATTGCTGCAAGTTTGAGGCCAGCCTGGGTTACATAGTGAGTTCAAGTCAAGCCTGAACTACACAGGGAGACCCTGTCTCAAAAAATCAAAAACAACAACAAAATCTAGACAAAGAGCCCTAAAGGATAACCTACTCAGCCCCCTCGAAGCTAGTGAGTGTTTTATTTCCTTGACTTTCTTTTCTTTTTTTTTTTGTACCACGGATCGAACTCGGAACCTTGCACTTTCAAGGCAGGCAGTGGAACCACTGAGCTAAATCCCCAGCCCCCTTGACTTTATATCCTTTAAAAAAATTTGCTTGCACCCTACCTCCTCCATCCCACAGTGTGGGACAGGACCCCAGACACTTAGTGCTATTATTACAGGCAGCTGAGTTAGATAAAAATCCCTTGAGAGGCAAAAGGACCTGAGTTCAATCCCCTGTACCACCACCCCACCCCACCCCAATCCCTTGAAAGGAGGTCAGTGACAGGTGGAGACCTCAGAATTGTGGCTGGAGGTGCATTTGAATAAGGCAAGGCCTCAAAATAAAGACACAATGGCCAGATTTACATACTTCCTTAAAGGATGAACTGAAACTTGAGATTATACTGTAATTGGTACCACCCAGTCCATTAAGTCCAGATACACATCAGACACCCTGATGGGTGACCAGGGCATCTGAGCCCATCCCTTCCCCAAAACATTCCTGCTTTAGATGTTATAAACCAAGGTTAATGATGTAAACCCTGTACCCTTGCTACTAGGGTCACTTCCCTATTGGATCAATATTAGCTAAGCAGCTAACCTCGTAATCATATTGGTTGATTATAGTTTGATCCACCTTGAACCACCTTGTGATTTTGCCCTATAAAACATTCTTGGAAAAATAACCTCGGAGGCAACCTACTTCTGGGATCTCCTGTCTTTCAGGACCTATTCCTGTTCTATAGTAAACCTTTCCTACTCTTAACCTTTGTCCTTTGGAATTCATTCTTCCATTTTAAGTTATCACAAACTCTGCACATTTGCCAGGTAGAGTAGTGGACTCCTGTAATCCCATCACTTGGGAGGCTGAGGCAGTAGGATCACCTTGAATTGAAGGCCAGCCTGGCTACATAGTGAGTTTGAGGCTGGCCTGAATTACAAAGCAAGACCCTGTCTCAAAAAAACCCAAACAAACTCAGTATATCTGACATCTAGCAGGTTGGGAATTATATTTCTCCTATATTGCTATGATAACTGCCCCCCCAATCAAGTGAAGAAATACAATATGCAATAAGAAAATAGGCTTAGGCTATTGAGGAAGAAATAACAGAATTTCTCTGTTTCATAATTCCACAGCTGCAGAGATGGCAAAAAGGTACAATGGGCCAAGCTAGTGTCAAAATAAATGGGAAATGGAATAGTATTCTAACAGAATAAATTGTCTAAATTATATAAAAAAATCATTTTAGAACTATGCTCACAGCCCAAATAAAAGTGGATAATCAACTTTGCACAGTTGCAGTATCATAGCCGATGAGATTTATCTGAGGCATGATTACAGCTGATGGAAAAATGAATAATTAAGTTTAAATATTTTAAACCTAAAGATTATGAAGAATGAAAATACAAATACAAAATGAGAAGGGGAACAAGGGAGGAGGGTAGAAAAGAAGAGACAAGAAAAAAAAAGAGAAGACAAAAGGAAAAATGGAGGCTGGGGATGTAGGTCAGCAACGCCACATTTGCCTAGCAAGTACAAGTTCCTGAGTTTGATCCCCAGTACCAAAAAAAAAAAAAAAGTAGGAAAAATGGAAACAAAGCTTTTGTATATAAAGAGAGGAAGAGGGGTTAAAGGGAGAGGGAAAATGGGGGAAAAAAGACGATATATCATGTACAGATACAAATTCCCTATGATGAATGTTATCATTAAGCATATCGAAAATGTACCACAGCCAGGTGTGGTGGCACAGGCCTGTGATCTCAGCACTCAGGAGGCTGAGGCAGGAGGATCACTTCGAGTTTGAGGCCAACCTACAAAGTGGGCTCCATAGTGAGTTCAGGGCCAACCTAAACTACAAAGAGAGACACTGCCTCAAAAAAACAAAAAATAAATAAATAATAAAATGTATCAATAAATGTTTTGCTTAAAAAATACACTAATAAAAATAAAATTTTATAAGTAATATAAAAAAATACAAATACAAGAGTGTTGTTAGTCTTTTTCTCTCTTCTTTCTCTCTCCCACTCCTCTTTTTTTTTGTTTGCTACCAGGGATTGAACCTGGGACCTTGTGCTTGCAAGGCAGGAAACGAAGCACTGAGCTAAATCCCCAGCCCCTCCCACTCCTCTTTTGATCATGGCTAATTGGAGTTCTATCTGCCTCACTTATTTATGTTCCATTCTTTTTCCCTGTTTGGGAAGTTTTCTGCCATTACTTCTGTGGAGAGGATTTTCATGTCATTTGCACTATCCTGCTTTTTCATTGATTCCGATCAATCTTATGCAATTCTTTGCAATATCTAGCAGCTGCTGAATTGATTTCTCATGGTCCTTTGCTATTTTTAAAAAATATTGGGTCAGGGATTTAGCTCAGTGGTGCCACCACCTGCCTCGCAAGCACAAGGTCCTGAGTTCAATCCCTAGTACCTGAAAAAAGAAAAGAAAAAAATATATATATCTTTTCATGATCACTAACCACAATCTTATATTCTATATCTGATATTCTGTCCTCATATTGGCTCATTCTGCCACATATACCTTCAATGGATTTGTGTGTCTGTGTGTTTGTTTGTGAGACAGGGTCTCACTATGCAGTTCAGGCCGGACTTGAACCCACTATGGAGCCCAGGCTAGCCTCAAACTCACAGTAATTCTCCTGCTTCAGCCTACTGAATGCTGGGACTATAGGGTTGGGCTACCACGCCCAGCTTCAATGGAATTTTTAATCTCCTGGATATCTGTTTCAATCTGTTTCATGGATTCCATTTCTTTCCTGGGCTGGGTGTTCATGGTGTTCTTCATTTTCCTGAGCTCCTCTATTTTTTTTATCTGTATCTGCTCTAGAGTCACTAAGCATGTCTTTCATTATGGTCACCATCTTTGTTGTTATCTGAGAAATTAATTCTGCTTTGATTTTGTTCTAGAGCTTTGTTCATCTGCTTTGTTACTTCTGCTGTTACCACTTCAGAGAGTCCAGGTGGGTGGCTTTTGAATTGTTCCACCTCATTGCCCCTTGGTTTTGCCTTTGATGAGCTGAAAGTCTTGGGGGCGGGGGGTTGGGGTTGGATCTTGTTTAAATATCTTCTTTTTTTTTTAAAGTTGAATTCTTGGGTTGATGCTTGTAAATTGCTCATGGTGAGTAGTTTTATTGCTTATATTTAGAACCCTTAGGAAATGATTACTTCTCAGAGGTGTCTCCCAGGTGTAGCTGGCTTTTGAGATTTGAGTTTGTTGCAAGATTCTACCTCTTCAGTTTATTGAGGATG